ATGGGGTCTGCGATGATTCCTTCTGCCTGTTACATACTTTTCACAAAACTATTATACCCTGATTTCCCATTTTCAATGGGTTCAGGGTATAAAAAAAGCTGCGCACAGCAATGCTTAAAGAGTATCTACAATGTCAACAAGTTCAAGGTTAAATATATATATGCAATGTTGATTGTGGGTCACTCGTAAGCTTTTCTTTGATACGAGAATCAAAAGTGCATGACTAGATATTTCCCTGTAACTGTTAACGGGGTGAAATAATTATGATTTAAAAATAATTTGACATTGAATCTATATAAACATGCAAGCTAAGAAACTTGTATGTTTTATAAATAAAATAGATTCAAGCAAGACTAAATTTTTCATTTAAATTTAAAATGCGTTTGCATTGCAATGATCTACCCGAGACCTAACTCATTACAAAGCTTGGCAAGCTTTGCTGGTTATTGTCTGTATAATATATACATATTCAAAATCAATATATGTCTGAAAGCTCTGAGGCTGCAACGAGTAGTGTGCAAATGACTCAGCTGCAGTCAATCTCAATTGCATAGTCAGAAAGAAATCATGCTGGAGGTCACTTTAATCTTGCTGCTGATACTGCTGGGCCTCCTCTATGTATTCATGACATGGAATTACGGATACTGGCGCAAGCGAAAAGTTCCGGGTCCTGCCCCACGCATTCTCACAGGCAACTATCCGCATATGTTCAACATGAAACGTCATACAATCTACGATCTCAATGATATCTATAGGTAAATACAATTGAAATGAATACGTAAATTTCAATAGGAATTGACTCCATATTCTATCGCTTCTATTGTAGAGAATACAAGCATCAGTACGATGCAGTTGGCATTTACAGAGCTCGCTGTCCACAGTTGATGGTGATAAGTCCGCAGTTGGCTAGACGCGTCTTCGTCTCTGACTTCAAGCACTTTCACGACAATGAAGTTTCTCTGATGGTAACTGAAAAGTCCGATTACATATTTGCCAACAATCCGTTTACTCTGGTCGGCGAAGAGTGGAAAGAGCGACGCGCAGATGTAAGTCCCGGACTAACCATGGGTCGCGTAAGTTTTCACTAGAGAAAATCAAGGAATATTACGGAAACTCCACTCATTTCCTTCTCCAGATCAAGAGCGTCTATCCAATAACTAATGATGTGTGCCGAAAGCTGACCGAATGGCTACGCAAGCAGATACGTGCACCTCCAAGTGGTGGCATTAATGCCAAAGATGTAAGACTCTTTTAACTATATGAGTATATCGATTATAACTTTTCTTATTTAGGTGGGTCTACGTTTCACAACCGAAATGGTCACCGATTGCGTGCTGGGTCTGAACGCCGAGAGTTTCTCAGATAAACCGTCACCCATAATGGGTTACATCAAGGAAATCCTTCATATGCCTTGGCCCTCCATCATATACCTTATGATAGCCAACTTTTTGCCCAGCATAAGGCGATTCTATAAAATGCGCCTTATTCCCTTGCCAATGGAGCACTACTTTCTGAATCTGATGCAAACGGCCATCGATGCACGGCGTAAACAACTCGCTGCAGGAAAGCAATTCGATCGCGTTGACTTCCTGGACTACATTCTCCAGCTGGGCAGCAAGAAGAATCTAGATACTCGCCAACTGACTGCACACATAATGACTTTCCTACTGGACGGATTCGAGACTACGGCCTCAGTACTCAGTCATATGCTTTTGCTGCTGGG